AAGTCGCTCTGGATAAGAGCGTCTGCTAAATGACTAAAATGTAAATGTTTGTAGGAGTCAGTTGAACAGGGATCATTAATATTCAGTCAATATTTGAATCACTGCTTAGAATATGAGCATTGTGATGTTGTCAATCTTAATATAGATGGACATGTACATCAGGTGACTGATAATATATTATTACTAATCATGTGACTTGAGGTCTACTGTGACTTGCGAGACTAAGGGTCTGTCTCAATCCACAAGAATGATGCCTTTTTGAGTTAGCATTTCTCATTTATGCCATTTAGCAGACTCTTTTTTATCCAGTTACAGAGGACCTTGAAGGCAGGAAGTTAAGATCACCATTTTTGAATTGAGACTGCTGTGGTCAGTGTTTTTCTACCCAAATGAAGTTGGTTAATCCCTTAAAGCTTGATTGTGGTCCTCTTCAGTTCTGGCAGTTTGGTGAGTGGGTGGATGTGGTGATTGATGACCGGCTGCCAACGAAGGATGGAGAGCTCATGTTCGTTCACTCAGCCGAGGGCAATGAGTTCTGGAGCGCCCTGCTGGAGAAGGCCTACGCCAAGTAAAGATACAGCACCATAATACATACATGGTTTATGCTAAGATACAGCACCATAATACATACTGGTTTATGCTACGATGCAGCACCATAATACATGGTTTATGCTAAGATACAACACCATAATAATACATGGTTTATGCTAAGATACAGCACCATAATACATACATGGTTTATGCTAGATACAGACAAACACTAATAGCACCAATACATGGTTTATGACTAAGCATACAGCACCATAAACATCAGGTTTATCTAATACACACCATATACTGGTTTATGCTAAGATACAGTACCATAATCATACAGGGTTTATGCTACGATTACAGCACCATAATACATACATGGTTTATGCTAAGATACAGCACCATAATACATACATGGTTTATGCTACGATACAGCACCATAATACATCGGTTTATGCAAGTACAGCACCATAATACATACGGTTTATGCTAACGATACAGCACCATAATACATGGTTTATGCTAAGATACAGCACCAAAATAATACATGGTTTATGCTAAGATACAGCACCATAATACAATGGTTTATGCTAAATACAGCACCATAATACATACATGGTTTATGCTAAGATACAGCACCAAAATACATACCATGGTTTATGCTAAGTACAGACCATAATCATACATGGTTTATGCTAAGATACACACCATAATACTACATGGTTTTATCCCTAAGATACAGCACCATAATACATACATGGTTTATGCTAAATACAGCACCATAAAATACATGGTTTATGCTACGATACCGCACCATAATACATGATGTTTATCTACGATACAGCAACCATAATACATGGTTTATGCTAAGATACAGCACCATAATACATACATGGTTTATGCTAAGATACAGCACCATAATACACATGTTTATGCTAAGATACAGCACCATAATACATACATGGTTTATGCTAAGATACAGCACCATAATACATACATGGTTTATGCTACGATACAGCACCATAATACATACATGGTTTATGCTAAGATACAGCACCATAATACATACATGGTTTATGCTAGATACAGCACCATAATACATGGTTTATGCTAAGATACAGCACCATAATACATACATGGTTTATGCTACGATACAGCACCATAATACATGGTTTATGCTAAGATACCAGCCCCAAAATAATACATGGTTTATGCTAAATACAGCACCATAATACATACATGGTTTATGCTAAGTACAGCACCATAATACATACATGGTTTATGCTAAATACAGCACCAAATACATACATGGTTTATGCTAAGATACAGCACCATAATACATACATGGTTTATGCTAAGATACAGCACCATAATACATACATGGTTTATGCTAAGATACAGCACCATAATACATACATGGTTTATGCTACGATACAGCACCATAATACATGGTTTATGCTAAGCTACAGCACCATAATACATACATGGTTTATGCTACGATACAGCACCATAATGCATACATGGTTTATGCTAAGATACAGCACCATAATACATACATGGTTTATGCTAAGATACAGCACCATAATACATACATGGTTTATGCTACGATACAGCACCATAATACATACATGGTTTATGCTAAGATACAGCACCATAATACATACATGGTTTATGCTAGATACAGACACCATAATACATTACATGGTTTATGCTAAGATACGCCACCATAATACATACATGGTTTATGCTAAGATACAGCACCATAATACATACATGGTTTATGCTAAGATAACAGCACCATTTAATACATACATGGTTTATGCTACGATTACAGCACCATAAATGACATGGTTTATGCTAAGATACGAGCACCTAAATACATACATTGTTTATGCTAAGATACCAGCACCAATTAATAATTACATGGTTTCTGCTAAGATTACAGCACCATTAATACATGGTTTTATTGCTAAGATACAGGCACCATAATACTTACATAACATTGGTTTATGCAACATTACGCACCATAATACATACATGGTTTTATGCTTACGATCAGCACCATTATACATGGTTTATGCTAACGATTACCGCACCCTATAATACCATGGTTTATGCTAAGCTTACAGCACCCTAATACATGGTTTATTGCTAGATTACAGCCACCTAATACCATACATTTGGTTTATGCTAAGATACAGCCACCATAATACATTACCTGGTTTTGCTAAGATTCAGGCACCATAATACATACATGGTTTATGCTAAGATACAGCACCATAATACATACATGGTTTATGCTAAGATACAGCACCATAATACATACATGGTTTATGCTACGATACAGCACCATAATACATGGTTTATGCTAAGCTACCTATTGTTTGTTGCCTACGCCAAGTATGTCAACAAAGGCCTGGTCTGCGTCCCAAGTTCCACCTTATTCCCTATTTAGTGCTTTGAATCAGGACCCATATGTGTGTTGATCATATTAACACTCTCTCTGCCATATAGACTTCATCGTGTATACATCTACAGTGAGCTCCACAAGTATTGGGACAGTGACCCATTTTTTATTGTTTTGGCTCTGTACTCCAGCACTTTGGATTTTGAAATGATTCAATGACTATGAGGTTAAAGTGCAGACTGTCGGCTTTAATTTGAGGGTATTTTCATCCGTATCGGGTGAACTGTTTAGAAATGACAGCATATTTTGTACATAGTCCCCCCCCCCATTTTAGGGGAACAGAATGCCACAGATGTCTCAAGTTTTGAGGGAGCGTGCAATTGGCATGCTGACTGCAGGAAGGTCCACCAGAGCTGTTGCCAGAGAATTTAATCTTAATTTCTCTACCATAAACCGCCTCCAACGTCGTTTTAGAGAATTTGACAGTACGTCCAACCAGCCTCACAACCGCAGACCACGTGTAACCACGCCAGCCCAGGACCTCCACATCCGGCTTCTTCACCTGCAGGATCATCTGAGACCAGCCACCCGGACAGCTGATGAAATTGAGGTGTATTTCTGTCTGTATAAAGCACTTTTGTGAGGAAAAACTCATTCTGATTGGCTGGGCCTTGCTCCCCAGTGGGTGGGCCTTGATCCCAAGTGGGTGGGCCTATGCCCTCCCAGTCCCACCCATGGCTGCGCCCCTTGCCCAGTCATGTGAAATCCATAGATTAGGGCCTAATGAATTTATTTCAATTGACTGATTTCCTTATATGAACTGTAACTCAGTAAAATCATTGAAATTGTTGCATGTTGCATTTATATTTTTGTTCAGTATAGTCAAAAGTTTAGTAGTTGGTCCCATATTCCCAGCACGCAATGATTACATCAAGCTTGTGACTCTACAAAGTTGTTGGATGCATTTGCTGTTTGTTTTGGTTGTGTTTCAGATAATTTTTTGCCCAATACAAATGACTGTATTGTGTATGGTAAATAATGTATTGTGTCATTTTGGAGTCACTTTTATTGTAAGTAATATAATATGTTTATAAACACTTCTACATTAATGTGGATGCTACCCTGATTAACAACGGATAATCTTGAATGGATTATCAGGATTATCCGTAATCATGGTAAAATCCACATTAATGTAATCATTGAGTGCTAGGATATGGGACCAAATACTAAACGTTTAACTACTTTAATACACATACAGTATGAGGGAATTTGTCCCAAAACTTTTGGACTATGTACAAAAAGTGCTGTCATTTCTAAACAGTTCACCCGATATGGATGAAAATACCCTCAAATTAAAGCCGACAGTCTGCACTTTAACCTCATAGTCATTGTATCATTTCAAATCCAAAGAGCTGGAGTACAGAGCCAAAACAATACTTTTGGATCTCATTGTACGTTACGTGTGTATATCCATGCACTTATATTGTCTCTGCACTATGTTCATAGACGATGATACTGACCTGATAAATGTGTTTCTACTGTCACTCTCAGGCTGAATGGTTCATACGAGGCTCTGTCTGGAGGCAGCACCACAGAAGGCTTTGAGGACTTCACCGGTGGTGTGTCTGAGATGTACGAGCTCCGTAAGGCTCCACGGGACCTGTACAGGATCATCAGCAAAGCCCTGGACAGAGGCTCCTTGCTGGGCTGCTCCATCGACGTGAGTCCCCTCCTCCTCTGGTCCTGTCAAAAACACCAGGGTCTCATTCATTGGGGCACATCGATTTTAAAATGTTTTTCAACAGAAAAAAAAATTCAAGCAGTTGTTTATTGAACATCTCCAGGTAGTCCCTCTCTATTCCTGTCCGTTTTCTTCTGTTTTGGTGCCTTATGAATACGGCCCTGGGGGATAGTTTGATGTACCTACATTTTTGAACAACGTTATCATGAACTTACATCATTTATAACATGAACATTGTAGTCAATACATCCTGATATCATAGGGGTCTTGTATTCTTCTGATTTATATATTTTGTAACTACAGATCACCAGTGCCTTTGACATGGAGTCTGTGACGTTCAAGAAGCTGGTGAAAGGTCATGCTTACTCAGTCACCGGCCTGAAGAAGGTAGGTTAAATAGACTAGACCAGGAAGTTTGGTTTTACCCGAGTCTGACTCCGGTGTATCTGGGTCTTCAGACCCTGCTTGGGAACCCTGGTCCAGAGGTAAGTCAGACCCTGGTCTCCCTGGTCTCTGTCTCTAGTGTCAGTGTTTCTACAATGTGTTTATTGTTGAACTGCATGTGTCTGATTCTGTCCCGCTCCAGGTAGATTACCAGGGTCAGACGGAGAGGTTGATCAGGGTGAGGAACCCCTGGGGACAGGTGGAGTGGACCGGCGCCTGGAGTGACAAGTGAGTTTAAAACAGAACCCCCTACTAGGTCCACATTCACAACAACATATTTACAACCTAACCTGGCACTAACCCCAGAGTTTCACCACAAACCTCATCTTTTGCTTACACATTCATGAAGTTTCTGTCGTAGATTTTAATAGATTCTGTTTCTCAGGATACTATTGGTCGGTTCTTGTCTCCCTATGTGTAGCTGATTGATTGTTTATTTAATTGGCTGATTGATTGTTTGTTTATTTGGCTGATTGATTGTTTATTTAATTGGCTGATTGATTGTTTATTTAATTGGCTGTTTGATTGTTTATTTAATTGGCTGATTGATTGTTTATTTAATTGGCTGATTGATTGTTTATTGAATTGATCGACTGCTCTGTTCTTAACTCCCTGTCTGTGTCCAGTTCTCCTGAGTGGGATGAGTTGGACCCATCTGAGAGAGAGGACCTGCATCTAAAGATGGAGGACGGAGAGTTCTGGTAAGATGGAGCATGATTACATGCTGAGTTCTCAGTTGTTTGAAATGACCCTGGAATTCTGTAATCTCAGAACTCAGAACCAAGGTGTGCTGGTCAGCTTCTTCTACATGTATGTTACGAGAGACCACAAAATCTACATCTTCAGCTGCCATTGTGATGAAAATATCATATACACTATATATATACAAAAGTATGTGGACACTCCTTCAAATTAGTGGATTCTGCTATTTCAGCCACTCCCGTTGCTGACAGGTGTATAAAATAGAGCACATAGCCGTGCAATCTCCATAGACAAACATTTGCAGTAGAATGGCCTTACTGAAGAGCTCAGTAACTTTCAACGTGGCACCGTCATAGGATGCCACCTTTCCATCAAGTCAGTTCATCAAATTTCTGCCCTGCTAGAGCTGCCCCGGTCAACTGTAAGTGCTGTTATTGTGAAGGGGAAACGTCTAGGAGCAACAACGGCTCAGCCTCGAAGTGGTAGGCCACACATGCTCACAGAACGGGACCGCCGAGTACTGAAGCGCATAGCGCGTAATAATCGTCTGTCCTTTGTTGCAACACTCACTACCGAGTTCCAAACTGCCTCTGGAAGCAACGTCAGCACAATAACTTTTTGTCGGGAGCTTCATGAAATGGGTTTCCATGGCCGAGCAGCCGCACACAAGCCTAAGATCACCATGCGCAATGCCAAGCGTCGGCTGGAGTGGTGTAAAGCTCACCGCCTTTGGACTCTGGAGCAGTGGAGTGATGAATCACGCCTCGCCATCTGGCTTTCCGACAGACTAATCTGGGTTTGGCGGATGCCAGGAGAACGCTACTTGCCCAATGCATAGTGCCAACTGTAAAGTTTGGTGGAGGAGGAATAATGGTTCGGGCTAGGCCCCTTAGTTCCAGTGAAGGGAAATCTTAACACTACAGCATACAATGACATTCTAGACGATTCTGTGCTTCCAACTTTGTGGCAACAGTTTGGGGAAAGCCCTTTCCTGTTTCAGCATGACAATGCCCCCGTGCACAAAACGAGGTCCATACAGAAATGGTTTGTCGAGATCGGTGTGGAAGAACTTGACTGGCCTGCACAGAGCCCTGACCTCAACCCCATCGAACACCTTTGGGATGAATTGGAACACCGACTGCGAGCCAGGCCTAATCGCCCAACATCAGTGCCCGACCTCACTAATGATCTCGTGGCTGAATGGTAAGCAAGTCCCCGCAGCAATGTTCCAACACCTAGTTGAAAGCATTCCCAGAAGAGTGGAGGCTGTTATAGCAGCAAAGGGGGGGGGGGACCAACTCCATATTAATGCCCATGATTTTGAAATGAGATGTTCAACGAGCAGGTGTCCACATACTTTTGCCCATGGAGTGTATATGTTTTAAATCGCCCCTAATCACCCCACGTCGATAGGATGTCGTTCCAGGAGTTCCTGAGGCAGTTTTCCCGTCTGGAGATCTGTAACCTGACGGCGGACGCTCTGAGTGAGGACGGCCTCAGCCACTGGAACACCATCAAGTTCCACGGCATGTGGAGACGGGGGAGTACCGCCGGGGGCTGCCGTAACCACCCCAGTGAGTCATAGAACATCGAACATGTCTTCCAGAACACGTAGAATATTTACATTACAACATTAACACCCCATACTGCAGAATATTAACACCCCATACTGCAGAATATTAACACCCCATACAGCAGAATATTAACACCCCATACTGCAGAACATTAACACCCCATACTGCAGAACATTAACACCCCATACTGCAGAACATTAACACCCCATACTGCAGAACATTAACAATCCATACTGCAGAACATTAACACCCCATACTGCAGAACATTAACACCCCATACTGCAGAACATTAACACCCCATACTGCAGAATATTAACACCCCATACTGCAGAATATTAACACTCCATACTGCAGAATATTAACACCCCATACTGCAGAACATTAACACCCCATACAGCAGAATATTAACACCCCATACTGCAGAACATTAACACCCCATACAGCAGAATATTAACACCCCATACAGCAGAATATTAACACCCCATACAGCAGAATATTAACACCCCATACTGCAGAATATTAACACCCCATACTGCAGAATATTAACACCCCATACTGCAGAATATTAACACTCCATACTGCAGAATATTAACACCCCATACTGCAGAACATTAACACCCCATACAGCAGAACATTAACACCCCATCCTGCAGAACATTAACACCCCATCCTGCAGAACATTAACACCCCATACTGCAGAACATTAACACCCCATACTGCAGAATATTAACACCCCATACTGCAGAACATTAACACTCCATACTGCAGAACATTTACACCCCATCCTGCAGAACATTAACACCCCATCCTGCAGAACATTAACACCCCATACTGCAGAACATTAACACCCCATACTGCAGAATATTAACACCCCATACTGCAGAACATTAACACCCCATACTGCAGAATATTAACACCCCATACTGCAGAACATTAACAGTAGAATACAAGGGCATGTGGGGAAGAGGGAGTATAGCTGTGGCTTGCCTCAACCACCCCAGTGAGTCAGTCACTATGTTCCCAGAACATCTTACATCTCAGAACAGATAGAATGTTAGCCTGGGTGCAAGGCTCTTTAGCTAACAATCCACTCCTTGTCTTTGCCTTGTCATTGCCTTGTCTTGTCTTTGGTAATGAAAAGGAGTGGCAAGGAGTGGAATGTTAGTTAAATAGACTTGTACTACTACCCAAACTTCATTTACAGTACAGGAACCGGAGGCTGTCGGAACCACCCCAGTGAGTCACAGAACCACTTCCAGAACCAACATTCCAGAACGCCTATATTCTAGAGCTTTTACAGTACAGGGGCAGCCCAGAATGTGAAAGGGGGAGGGTCAGCACGGTCCGGGGGGCTGTCGGAACCACCCCAGTGAGTCACAGAGTTACTAGTACATTATTTACATACCAGAACGCATAGATTAGAACATACCAGAACACATAGATTAGAACATACCAGAACGCATAGATTAGAACATACCAGAAGGCATAGATTAGAACATACCAGAACGCATAGATTAGAACATACCAGAACGCATAGATTAGAACATACCAGAACGCATAGATTAGAACATACCAGAATGTATAGATTAGAACATACCAGAACGCATAGATTAGAACATACCAGAACATGAACATTTATAGTATAGTACAGATACAGCACAGCCAGAGAGGCAGCCAGAACCTCCCCAGTGTCATAGAAACATCTTACATAGAACGTTATACAGGACAGAACAGGAACCATCCCAGTGTCATAGAAACATCTTACATAGAACGTTATACAGGACAGAACAGGAACCATCCCAGTGTCATAGAAACATCTTACATAGAACGTTATACAGGACAGAACAGGAACCTCTCCAGTGTCATAGAAACATCTTACATAGAACGTTATACAGGAGAAAACAGGAACCATCCCAGTGTCATAGAAACATCTTACATAGAACGTTATACAGGACAGAACAGGAACCATCCCAGTGTCATAGAAACATCTTACATAGAACGTTATACAGGACAGAACAGGAACCATCCCAGTGTCATAGAAACATCTTACATAGAACGTTATACAGGACAGAACAGGAACCACCCCAGTGTCATAGAAACATCTTATAGTATAACATTTAGAGTAGGAGCAAAGATCATAATTCATGTGTTATTTTTTTCGGGAAAATCACCCCAGAGCTTTTCGAACAGCTACACATGTACATATTACCTCAACTACCTCGTACCCCTGCACATTGACTCGTTACCGGTACTCCTTGTATATAGCCTCGCTATTGTTATTTTATTGCGTTACTATTTCAAAGAAAAAAATTAAGGAAAGAAGTAGAGGGTGCTCAACCTAAAAATGTGTAGACGTCATTGGACAGGAAAAGGCGCTCGCTCACCATAAAAAAATATTTGTTTTATTAGACAAGTTTAAAAGATTGACCTTTCGGCCTTCAATGGCCTTCATTTTTTATTTATTTAACACATTACTTTTTAACTATGCATTGTTGGGAAAGGGCTCATAAGTAAGCATTTCACGGTAAAGTCTACACCTGTTGTATTTGGCGCATTCGACAAATAAAATGTAATTTGATTTGACCAGATGGGACATCTATAACACATCGGTTGTATGGATTACCTTTAATGCCAGACAAGTAAGCGCCTGCTCCTGTATTGTCCAGACACGTTCTGGATCAACCCCCAGTATAAGATAACTCTGCTGGAGGAGGATGACGACCCTGAGGATGACGAGGTGGCCTGCAGCTTCCTGGTGGCTCTGATGCAGAAGGACAGGAGGAGGTACCGGAAACAGGGGCAGGACATGCACACCATCGGGTTCGCCATCTACGAGGTGAGAAACGAGCTTCAAAAAAGGAGTCTACAGCCACATCTCTGGGAAAAAACGCTACACACTCACTACTTTCTGCTGCTCACAGAATTGCATTGTTTTCAAAGTTTAATGTTTCTCCTATTGTATCTTCTGTTTGTGCAGATTCCAGAAGAGGTATGAATAATTTAGGCTCATGTATTTGGGCATTGTGAAAATGATCCAACTTGGGTATGGCTATAAATGCATTATTCCTTTTAAGTGGCACTTATTTACATGAATATGGGCCAGTTTCCCGGACGCAAGGTTAAGCCTAATCTTGGACTAAGAAGCATTTTCAATTGAGAATTTCCATTGAACATATTCTTTTGGTCTAGGACTTAACCTGTGTCTGGTAACCTGGACTGCAGCATATGTAGTTGAAGCCATGTCTCTACCTTCCACGTCCTCTGCAGTACAGGGGCTGTCAGAACGTGCACCTAAAGAAAGACTTCTTCCTGACCCACTCCTCCTGCGCTCGCTCTGAAACCTTTATCAACCTGAGAGAGGTCAGCAACCGTCTCAGTCTGCCTCCGGGAGAATACCTCATTGTCCCCTCCACTTTTGAGTCTGGCCAGGAGGCCGACTTTGTCCTGCGAGTCTTCACTGAGAAACAGTCTGAGACGGAGTAAGTGTGTGTGTGTGAGATCCTGTAATTCATTACATATGACATAAGGCTTTTCTTATTGGAAGACTTGATATGTGGGTCACCATGCCAGTGTGTGACTGTGTGTATATTTTCATTGTCTGTTTTCTCATTCCAGAGAGCTAGACGATGAAATCTCAGCAGACCTGGAAGATGAGGTGGGTTTTCCTGTATAGTCACTCACTACCGTAACTACTATGGTTAGAAAAGTCAATACCACAACTACTATGGTTAGATAGAACAGTCACTACCATAACTACTATGGTTAGAGAGAACAGTCACTACCATAACTACTATGGTTAAAACAGTCACTACCATAACTACTATGGTTAGAACAGTCACTACCATAACTACTATAGTTAAAACAGTCACTACCATAACTACTATGGTTAGAACAGTCACTACCATAACTACTATGGTTAGATACAGTCACTACCATAACTACTATGGTTAGAACAGTCACTACCATAACTACTATGGTTAGATAGTACAGTCACTACCATAACTACTATGGTAGATAGTACAGTCACTACCATAACTACTATGGTTAGATACAGTCACTACCATAACTACTATGGTTAGTACAGTCACTACCATAACTACTATGGTTAGAACAGTCACTACCATAACTACTATGGTTAGAACAGTTACTACCATAACTACTATGGTTAGATAGAACAGTCACTACCATAACTACTATGGGTAGATAGAACAGTCACTACCATAACTACTATGGGTAGATAGTACAGTCACTACCATAACTACTATGGTTAGAACAGTCACTACCATAACTACTATGGTTAGAACAGTTACTACCATAACTACTATGGGTAGATAGAACAGTCACTACCATAACTACTATGGTTAGAGCAGTCACTATTATAACTACTATGGTTAGAACAGTCACTACAATAACTACTATGGTTAGATAGTAGTCACTACCATAACTACTATGGTTAGAACAGTCACTATTATAACTACTATGGTTAGAACAGTCACTACCATACACTATGTAAACATCACTACCAATTACTATGGTAGATAGTAACAGTCACTACCATAACTACTATGGTTAGATAGTCACTCCACTACTATGTATAACGTCACTACTAACTACTATGGTAGATAGTAACAGTCACTACCATAACTACTATGGTTAGATAGTACAGTCACTACCATAACTACTATGGTTAGATAGTACAGTCACTACCATAACTACTATGGTTAAACAGTCACTACCATAACTACTATGGTTAGATAGAACAGTCACTACCATAACTACTATGGTTAGAAGACAGTCACTACCATAACTACTATGGGTAGATGACAGTCACTACCATAACTACTATGGTTAGATAGACAGTCACGACCATAACTACTATGGTTAGATACAGTCACTACCATAACTACTATGGGTAGATAGACAGTCACTACCATAACTACTATGGTTAGATAGTACAGTCACTACCATAACTACTATGGTTAGAACAGTCACTACCATAACTACTATGGTTAGAACAGTCACTACCATAACTACTATGTTGTAGTCACTACATAACTCTATGGTTATACATCACTACACTAACTATGGTAGATAACAGTCACTACCATAACTACTATGGTGAAGTCACTACATAACAGGTAACAGTCACTACCATAACTACTATGGTTAAACAGTCACTACCATAACTACTATGGTAGAAACAGTCACTACCATAACTACTATGGTTAGATAGAACAGTCACTACCATAACTACTATGGTTAGAACAGTCACTACCATAACGACTATGGTTATAGAACAGTCACTACCATAACTACTATGGTTAGAACAGTCACTACCATAACTACTATGGTTAGAACAGTCACTACCATAACTACTATGGTTAGAACAGTCACTACCATAACTACTATGTTAGACAGTCACTACCATAACTACTATGGTTAGATATAGTCACTACCATAACTACTATGGTTGAGAACAGTCACTACCATAACTACTATGGTTAGAACAGTCACACCTAACTCTATGTTACATCACTCCATAACTACTATGGTTAGATAAACAAGTCACTCACCATAACTACTATGGTTAGAACAGTCACTACCATAACTACTATGGTTAGAACAGTCACTACCATAACTACTATGGTTAGATAGTACAGTCACTACCATAACTACTATGGTTAGATAGAACAGTCACTACCATAACTACTATGGTTAGATAGTACAGTCACTACCATAACTACTATGGTTAGAACAGTCACTACCATAACTACTATGGTTAGATAGTACAGTCACTACCATAACTACTATGGTTAGATAGTACAGTCACTACCATAACTACTATGGTTAGATAGTAGTCACTACCATAACTACTATGGTTAGAACAGTCACTACCATAACTACTATGGTTAAACAGTCACTACCATAACTACTATGGGTAGATAGTACAGTCACTACCATAACTACTATGGGTAGATAGTACAGTCACTACCATAACTACTATGGGTAGATAGTACAGTCACTACCATAACTACTATGGGTAGATAGTACAGTCACTACCATAACTACTATGGTAGAGAATACAGTTAACACCTACCATAACTACTATGGTTAGATAGTACAGTCACTACCATAATACTATGGGTGAAGACAGTCACTACCATAACTACTATGGTTAGAACAGTCACTACCATAACTACTATGGTTAGAACAGTCACTACCATAACTACTATGGTTAGAACAGTCACTACCATAACTACTATGGTTAGAACAGTCACTACCATAACTACTATGGTTAGAACAGTCACTACCATAACTACTATGGTTAGAACAGTCACTACCATAACTACTATGGTTAGATAGAACAGTCACTACCATAACTACTATGGTTAGAACAGTCACTACCATAAGCACTATGGTTTAGAACGTCACTACCATAACTACTATGGGTTAGAGACAGTCACTACCATAACTACTATGGTTAGAAAGTCACTACCATAACTACTATGGTTAGATAGAACAGTCACTACCATAACTACTATGGTTAGAACAGTCACTACCATAACTACTATGGTTAGAACAGTCACTACCATAACTACTATGGTTAGATAGAACAGTCACTACCATAACTACTATGGTTAGAACAGTCACTACCATAACTACTATGGTGATAGAACAGTCACTACCATAACTACTATGGTTAGATAACAGTCACTACCATAACTACTATGGTAGATAGAACAGTCACTACCATAACTACTATGGTTAGATAGTACAGTCACTACCATAACTACTATGGTTAGATAGTACAGTCACTACCATAACTACTATGGTTAGAATCAGTCACTACCATAACTACTATGGTAGATAGTACAGTCACTACCATAACTACTATGGTAGAAGTACAGTCACTACCATAACTACTATGGTAGATAGACAGTCACTACCATAACTACTATGGTTAGAAAGTCACTACCATAACTACTATGGTTAGAACAGTCACTACCATAACTACTATGGTTAGAACAGTCACTACCATAACTACTATGGTTAGAACAGTCACTACCATAACTACTATGGTTAGAACAGTCACTACCATAACTACTATGGTTAGAACAGTACACCGTACTACTTGTAACCACTACCATACTACTATGGTTAGATAGACAGTCACTACCATAACTACTATGGTAGATAGTACAGTCACTACCATAACTACTATGGTTAGAACAGTCACTACCATAAACTACTATGGGTAGATAGTACAGTCACTACCATAACTACTATGGTTAGATAGAACAGTCACTACCATAACTACTATGGTTAGATAGAACAGTCACTACCATAACTACTATGGTTAGATAGTACAGTCACTACCATAACTACTATGGTTAGATAGTACAGTCACTACCATAACTACTATGGCTAGATAGTACAGTCACTACCATAACTACTATGGTTAGAACAGTCACTACCATAACTACTATGGTTAGAACAGTCACTACCATAACTACTATGGTTAGATAGAACAGTCACTACCATAACTACTATGTAAACCACACCAAACCCTGGTTAGCTCTCATAACATGGTTTGAAAGGTATACTACACAGGAAGACTCACCTTGACATCAACCTGTTGTGCTTCTAGGTCATACACATAAATGGACATCGACGACTCATTAATCATGTTGCTCAGTGCAGAGCTAGCCATTCATTATTTGTTCAACGTACTACCTTATATGATTTCCATCGTAGATATCCATCTGTTGTCTATATCTAATTAGCTACATTAATATGCCTCTGAACTAATTTGTTCCAAGGTTATTTAAAGGATGGACCTCCAAGATTTCTAATCCCTATGCTATGTCTAAGCCATGTTTTTTTCTCAATCGCCCTTCTGTGTTTTAGGACATGGAGATTTCTGTCCGCGAGCTTAGGACCATCCTGAACAGAGTAGTGACTAGACGTGAGTACAGCAGTTTCCTTTGGTTTGAACCCCCAATGTCCTGATAGCCAAACCCCAACCCCAGGACAGCCCACCATTGGTGTAAGCCCCCCCTTTTCAGGAGGACAGTGGGTGTAGCCTTGTGGGTTCTGCTGTAGGGGAGACTCAGATCATCGGTTTGACTGTTTGTTTGTTGTGTGATTTTAGACAAAGACCTGAAGACAGACGGCTTCAGTATTGAGTCCTGTAGGACCATGGTCAACCTTATGGATGTATCCTTTTCACGTTGTTTTCCCCCACACCCGTATTCTGGACAGGACTCACCCGCCCCTTGCTAATTCTGAAGAGTTGGGATTGGCCAGTGGTCTTTGATTTGACAGCCCTCCTGCGAGTCAGCTTCCTTTATATGCTGTCTGTGTTGAACAGGGTCTCCACACTAGCAGCATGTTTCTGATTGACTGACTGAAGACTTTTCATTTAAAAAAAAATTACATTCCCTGACTCAACAATCCCCCAGAAGGATGGCACGGCCCGTCTTGGCCTGGTAGAGTTCCAGATCCTCTGGAATAAGATCAGGAAGTGGCTGGTAAGGCCTGGCTTGTATCCCAAATGGCACCCTATTCCCAAGAGTGCACTACGACAACAGAGATCTATCTGGGTTAGGGTTACCCTGGACAATTAGGATTTGGGACTCAGTCGGCAGTTTCTTAGGTACACCCCCCCCCCCGTTCACAAAAATGGTTCGCTCCTACAGACAGTGAGTCACCTGGCCGTGGTGGGCAGACAGGCATCGAGGCATTCGGTTACTGTTTGATTGATACGTTAGAATGGGCGAAACGAGTGACCTAAGCGACTTTGAGTGTGGCATGATCGTCGGTGCCAGGCACGCCGGGTCCAGTATGTCAGAAACGGCCGACCTCCTGGGATTTTCACGCACGACAGTGTCTAGGGTTTACAGAGAATGGTGTGACAAACAAAACATCCAGTCAGCGTCAGTCCTGTGGGGGAAAACAGCTCGTTGATGAGAGGGGTCGAAGGAGAATGGCAAGAATCATGCAAGCTAACAGGCGGGTCACAGACAGACAAATAACAGCGCAGTACAACAGCGGTGTGCAGAACGGCATCTCGGAATGCATAACTCGTCCATCCTTGTCACGGATAGGCTATTGCAGCAGACGACCACACCGGGTTCCATCTGTAGAGAATATGATATCTGTGTGTTTATCGGTAGGTCATCTGTAGAGAATATATCTGTGTGTTTATCGGTAGGTCATCTGTAGAGAATATGATATCTGTGTGTTTATCGGTTGGTCATCTGTAGAGAATATGATATCTGTGTGTTTATCGGTAGGTCATCTATAGAGAATATGATATCTGTGTGTTTATCGGTAGGTCATCTATAGAGAATATGATATCTGTGTGTTTATCGGTAGGTCATCTATAGAGAATATGACATGGACAAGTCCGGGTCCATGAGCTCCTATGAGATGCGACTTGCTGTGGAGTCTGCAGGTATAGTTGTCTAAACACACACACACACACACACACACACATACACATACACACACACACACACACACACACACACACACACACACACACACACACACACACACACACACTACTGACTCTGTCATCTCCCTCATAGGTTTTAAACTGAACAACAGACTGAATCAGGTCCTAGTGGCTCGCTACGCTGAGAACGAGGCCATAGACTTTGACAACTTCATCTGCTGTTTGGTCAAACTGGAAGCCATGTTTAGTAAGTACTGTACTGTTAGTTAATCAAGATGGATGTGCTGTGTGTAGACCTAATGCACGCTAAACCAGTTACCTGGGCAGTGTTCATTAGGGCGTGCAACCGAAAATGCTTTAAAACCTTTTTCTTATTGCACAAGTCTAGGTAGTCCCTTCTTGTTTGTATGTTTTCTTCCATTTGGTGCCTAATCGACATGACCCTGGTCACATGACCCTGGTCACATGACCCTGCTCATATCCTGTCAAAGTTATCATTCATGATAAATGTACTTACTATTTTTACAGGATCTTTCCAGCAGCTGGACAAAGAGGGTGAAGGAGTGGCTGAGATGAACATCACTGAGGTGGGTCCTTTATCTGAGATGAACATCACTGAGGTGGGTCCTTTATCTGAGATGAACATCACTGAGGTGGGTCCTGTATCTGAGATGAACATCTCTGAGGTGGGTCCTGTATCTGAGATGAACATCTCTGAGGTGGGTCCTGTATCTGAGATGAACATCTCTGAGGTGGGTCCTGTATCTGAGATGAACATCTCTGAGGTGGGTCCTGTATCTGAGATGAACATCACTGAGGTGGGTCCTGTATCTGAGATGAACATCTCTGAGGTGGGTCCTGTATCTGAGATGAACATCTCTGAGGTGGGTCCTGTATCTGAGATGAACATCACTGAGGTGGGTCCTGTATCTGAGATGAACATCTCTGAGGTGGGTCCTGTATCTGAGATTGAACATCACTGAGGTGGGTCCTGTATCTGAGATGAACATCATCTGAGGTGGGTCCTGTATCTGAGATGAACATCACTGAGGTGGGTCCCTTGTATCTGAGATGAACATCACTGAGGTGGGTCCTGTATCTGAGATGAACATCTCTGAGGTTGGGTCCTGTATCTGAGATGAACATCTCTGAGGTGGGGTCCTGTATCTGAGATAACATCACTGAGGTGGGTCCTGTATCTGAGATGAACATCACTGAGGTGGGTCCTGTATCTGAGATGAACATCCTCTGAGGTGGGTCCTGTATCTGAGATGAACATCTCTGAGTGGGTCCCTGTATCTGAGATGAACATCACTGAGGTGGGTCCTGTATCTGAGATGAACATCTCTGAGGTGGGTCCTGTATCTGAGATGAACATCTCTGAGGTGGGTCCTGTATTGAGATGAACATCTGAGTGTGGGTCCTGTATCTGAGATGAACATCACTGAGGTGGGTCTTTGTATCTGAGATGAACATCTCTGAGGTGGGTCCTGTATCTGAGATGAACATCACTGAGGTGGGTCCTGTATCTGAGATGAACATCTCTGAGGTGGGTCCTGTATCTGAGATGAACATCACTGAGGTGGGTCCTGTATCTGAGATGAACATCTGAGGTGGGTCCTGTATCTGAGATGAACATCACTGAGGTGGGTCCTTATCTGAGATGAACATCTTGAGGTGGGTCCTGTATCTGAGATGAACATCTCTGAGGTGGGTCCTGTATCTGAGATGAACATCTCTGAGGTGGGTCCTGTATCTGAGATGAACATCTCTGAGGTGGGTCCTGTATCTGAGATGAACATCACTGAGGTGGGTCCTGTATCTGAGATGAACATCTCTGAGGTGGGTCCTGTATCTGAGATGAACATCACTGAGTGGGTCCTGTATCTGAGATGAACATCACTGAGGTGGGTCCTGTATCTGAGATGAACATCCTGAGGTGGGTCCTGTATCTGAGATGAACATCTCTGAGGTGGGTCCTGTATCTGAGATGAACATCTCTGATGTGGGTCCTGTATCTGAGATGAACATCACTGAGGTGGGTCCTGTATCTGAGATGAACATCTCTGAGGTGGGGTCCTGTATCTGAGATGAACATCTCTGAGGTGGGTCCTGTATCTGAGATGACCATCTCTGAGTGGGTCATGTATCTGAGATGAAAGCACGGAGGTGGGTCCTGTATCTGAGATGAACATCTCTGAGGTGGGTCCTGTATCTGAGATGAACATCTCTGAGGTGGGTCCGTATCTGAGATGAACATCACTGAGGTGGGTCCTGTATCTGAGATGAACATCACTGAGTGGGTCCTGTATCTGAGATGAACATCTCTGAGGTGGGGTCCTGTATCTGAGATGAACATCACTGAGGTGGGTCCTGTATCTGAGATGAACATCACTGAGGTGGGGTCCTGTATCTGAGATGAACATCACTGAGGTGGGTCCTGATCTGAGATGAACATCACGATGGTGGGTCCTGTTCTTCTGAGATGAACATCACTGAGGTGGGTCCTGTATCTGAGATGAACATCACTGAGTGGGTCCTGTATCTGAAGATGAACATCATGAGGTGGGTCCTGTATCTGAGATGAACATCACTGAGGTGGGTCCTGTATCTGAGATGAACATCTCTGAGGTGGGTCCTGTATCTGAGATGAACATCTCTGAGGTGGGTCCTGTATCTGAGATGAACATCACTGAGGTGGGTCCTGTATCTGAGATGAACATCTCTGAGGTGGGTCCTGTATCTGAGATGAACATCTCTGAGGTGGGTCCTGTATCTGAGATGAACATCTGAGGTGGGTCCTGTATCTGAGATGAACATCACTGAGGTGGGTCCTGTATCTGAGATGAACATCTCTGAGGTGGGTCCTGTATCTGAGATGAACATCACTGAGGTGGGTCCTGTATCTGAGATGAACATCACTGAGGTGGGTCCTGTATCTGAGATGAACATCTCTGAGGTGGGTCCTGTATCTGAGATGAACATCACTGAGGTGGGTCCTGTATCTGAGATGAACATCTCTGAGGTGGGTCCTGTATCTGAGATGAACATCACTGAGGTGGGTCCTGTATCATTCTCTACAAACAACCATGCATTTTAGCAGCCTGTGGTCTAGTGTCTAACTTCTCTCTCTCTCTCTCTCTCTCTCCCCCCTGTATGTATTTAGTGGCTGTATATGACCATGTGTGGTTGAAGAGGACCAGTGTTCTCCCAGGAGAGGGACAGACCGAACAGCCGGCGTGCCCGGCGTGCCTCTTCACTGGGGTCATATAGACCTACTGTAGCCTCTTCCCTGGAACCATGAAGACCTTCCTAGCCAATATCTTCCTCTGCCTGATCTCAACTATAGGGCTGCCCTGTACTGTGCTGACTCAGATATTTTATTTCCACATTGTCCTTTCCATCACGGTTCCAGCTACTATGGTGAACGCCCAACCAGCCCAGGTCAGCCCAGTTCAGCCCAGCCAGCCCAGGTCAGCCCAGTTCAGCCCAACCAGCCCAGGTCAGCCCAGTTCAGCCCAGTTCAGCCCAACCAGCCCAGTTCAGCCCAACCAGCCCAACCAGCCCAGTTCAGCCCAACCAGCACAGGTCAGCCCAGTTCAGCCCAGTTCAGCCCAACCAGCCCAGGTCAGCCCAGTTCAGCCCAACCAGCCCAGTTCAGTTCGGCTCAGTTTGGCCCTATAGTGTAAATAATTTGCTCTTACCAACTACAGTACAGCACGCCCCTGACCCACCCCACCAACTACAGTATAGCACGCCCCCTGACCCCTGACCCACCCCACCAACTACAGTACAGCACGCCCCCTGACCCACCCCACCAACTACAGTACAGTACGCCCCTGACCCAACCCCACCAACTACAGTACAGCACGCCCCCTGACCCCCCCCCACCAACTACAGTACAGCACGCCCCCTGACCCACCCCACCAACTACAGTACAGCACGCCCCCTGACCCACCCCACCAACTACAGTACAGCACGCCCCCTGACCCCACCCCACCAAACTACAGTACAGCACGCCCCCTGACCCACCCACCAACTACAGTACAGCACGCCCCCCTGACCCTGACCCCACCCCACCAACTACAGTACAGCACGCCCCCTGACCCACCCCACCAACTACAGTACAGCACGCCCCCTGACCCCTGACCCACCCCACCAACTACAGTACAGCACGCCCCCTGACCCCTGACCCACCCCACCAACTACAGTACAGCACGCCCCCTGACCCCTGACCCACCCCACCAACTACAGTACAGCACGCCCCCTGACCCACCCCACCAACTACAGTACAGCACGCCCCCTGACCCCTACCCACCCCAACTACAGTACAGCACGCCCCCTGACCCCACCCACCCCACCAACTACAGTACAGCACGCCCCCTGACCCCTGACCCCCCCACCAACTACAGTACAGACTGCCCCTGACCACCACAACTCGAGTACAGCAGCCATTGACCTGACACCAACTCTGTAAACAGTCCCTGTGAATTGTAGACCTGTCTGTAAACAGAGTCACTGTGGAATTGTAGATCTGTCTGTAAACAGAGTCACTGTGGAATTGTAGATCTGTCTGTAAACAGAGTCACTGTGGAATTGTAGATCTGTCTGTAAACAGAGTCACTGTGGAATTGTAGATCTGTCTGTAAACAGAGTCACTGTGGAATTGTAGATCTGTCTGTGAACAGCATGGGTCAGAGCATGAAGCATCAGGATGGTTGTATGGATACACGTTTTAAAATCACATTAGTTGAACTAAAGAGGATCAGGTCTGTTTGTCTTTTGCTGTTTTAGTGCGTGTGAACTGTTTCATCACCTGGTTGACCCCTCTGTGGGGTTAGTGGGAATATTTACAGATAGTGCATCTGGCTCTGTAACTCACTCACAAAGGTCCTATCGACAACGTTGTCATAGAGCCATCTTAGATTTACTGGTTTATTATTTTGTGAGATATGAAGGAAGTCTCAATTATTGCAGTGTTCTGGTTAATATAAATGTGTCTTATTCCCACGAACATTAGATTTTTTTAACCACAGCTGATATTTGAGGACATTATTTGACTATGCCCACTAGGTGGAAGTATTGAGTCTCAGATTTGGTGTGTGGTGATCATGGTACTGCAGTTGTAGAATGTTACTGTATATGAGGAAATAACAGTATTTTAGTTATTGAACTGAAGAACAAAAGTATAACTGATCCGACAAATAACAAATCATGGTTTTATGGGTTTAAACACCATATTGGATAATATTTTAGATACTCAGACCAAGTGGATTGGATTACAATGGAGATTAAAGGGATGGTTCATCTCATGTTCATTGGGTAAAATTAATTTGACTTGGAGTTGACTATATGAATGATCACTAAGGCCAAAGGAAGCTGTGAGAGAAAGAGTTCAACATAATTCAATCCGTCAATGCCTACTGTACTAACAAGCTGTGTCTCCCTATAGTTTTGACATTTTATAACATATTTCAAATGAATTGATAATCACTTGATTTATCCCAATGCTTTCTGATTGCATCTAACATCTATATATTGCTGTTAGAAAAGTTCCGATTGCGTCAATCCTGTCCGGAAAAGCTAGTGATTCTGAACGTATAGCGTGTGCCTTCAATAAAAACATGTTCACGTTAACTCCTGTGAGTGAACGCTGTACTTTATGGTCTTTGAAACACTGACATTTACGATCATCAGAGGCATTGCTTTCATCAAGTTCACACGCAATAGAAAGGAACATATTTGACCATAAATATATTTGATATAAAACTGGTCGTGGTGGTGGCAGACGGTAAAGGTTATATTTAGTCACCACAGTACGGAGTTGTTGTGGAACACAGGTCTAAGGAAGCGTTTACACAGGCAGCCCATTCTCATATTTATTTCCACTAAATCGGTCTTTTGACTAATCACATCTGATCTTTTTCAGAGCTGATCTGATTGGTCAAAAGACCAACGAGTGAAAAAAATAATAATATCCGAATTGGGCTGCCCGTCTAAAAACGCAGCCTGGTGTCAATCAAGACGTGTTTTGCTCAATGACCTTAGGCAAGTGCACAAGACGGAAGTACACGCACCATGAACCACGCATGCTGACCAAAAGTCTTGCAGGTGTTTACATGGTTGTGCACCAGGTGATAGAAATGTCAACTTCAGTACCGGCGATCTAACAAGACTTTCATATGGAGATGTCTCAAAATTCAAGCAGCTGAAGGACCAACACCACGGACAAATCGGCAGAGTAAGTTAAAATGATATTTTATTCAACATTTCGGCTTGTAAAGGTCCATTTCCAGAATCAAATTCACCGTCTGGTCCCCAAGCAAAGAGATGCCATTGATCTTGATATTCTATATGTCAGAGCCTTGTCCGTTCTACACAACATATTTCTATCTGAATGTTCCATTTACATTTACGTCATTTAGCAGACGCTCTTATCCAGAGCGACTTACATACTTTTTTTCATACTAGTCCCCCCGTGGGAATCGAACCCACAACCCTGGCGTTGCAAGCGCCATGCTCTACCAACTGAGCTACACGGGACTACCATGTAGTGCCTTGCTGAACTGATCCACAGTCCTCACACTTAATGGAAATGTTTTCTCAAGAATGGATACAAAGGAAGGAATTAGGTTAACCGACATTCTTTGCGTTAATTTGGGAACAAAAAGTGAACTACCGTAATTACGTAACATGTAGTGAGCAAAGGGTAGGTGAGGCATAATTCTTAGTCCCACCTGTTAAAATCTACAGTAGTTTATACAGTAGGCTGTGGTAAGCGTCTGTCATATACAGTTGAAGTCGGAAAGTTTACATACACTTAGGTTTGGAGTCATTAAAACTGTGAAACTGAGTTTAAATGTATTTGACTAAGGTGTATGTAAACTTCAGACTTCAACTGTAGATCCTTGATTACAGTTGTATGACTTCCTTGAGTTGGACATTTCCTGGAAAAAAACAAAAAAAAAAGCATAGTCTTGGACTAAATACTTTGGAAGTTTGAATTGAGATTCTCCATTGAACTTGCCTTACAGTCCAGGACAACGTTCATCTGTGTCCGGGAAAAAGGCCCTAAAAGCACACCCTGAGGAATATCAAAGATGCTCATTTGAAAGTGATTTTATTTATCAAACTACAACTATAACATGAATTGCATGTGAGACTTAACGTTCAACATTGTGGAGAACAGTTTCTGATATAGCAGGTACATTGAAACAACAGGCCATAACATGGTTACATCACCAATAACATGTGGAGAGATGTTTGGAGAGATTCCCCTTAGGTAACACAGTGGCACACATCCCCACTTAAGTCACATTTTCACTTAGTCATGCGTTGATGTCAATGGGAGACTAAGTGAAAATGTGTTGGGAAATCCCCCCCCATAGACTTGATCCCGTGTGATGACATGACGGCTGTCATCACACGGAGACTTCAGCCAGAGAACTATTAACGAAGGCCTGCCGTTACAGTGCTATACAAACCTGCTAGCGATGGCCAACAGTTTGGAATAGTCTCCTTCCATTTTGCGCAGGTGCGTCGGTAGGGGAACTTTTATTCTAGTTCCTGTAGGGTTGCCATTGTCTTCAATCAGGACAACATTGTTGGAGTCAAAACGCGGGTTCATCCGCTCTCCGGGCATCTTGTGCCCGACGATAAGAGCCTTTTTCTTCCCTCCCTTGATGGCCAGTAGAACTCGGTCGCCCACCTTGCCCACTCCATTCTTGGTGTAAACGTGGATGACTCTAGGGGCGCGGTGCCATGGGGTGCTACCCAGTGGACTGTTGTCAACAACACGTACCCTGGTCATCTTCTGGATGGCTGCTGCGGCTGCAGACACACTAAGAGAGAGAGAGAGAGAGAGAGAGAGAATAAGAATTGGCCAAGACCAGAATAAATTCAAATCAAATGTTATTTAGTCACATACACTTTAGCAGTTGTTATTGCGGTTGAAGCGAAATGCTTGTGTTCCAAAACTGCAGTAAGTAAGATAATGGAGTTAAGAAACATAAGGACGAGCAATGTCGGAGTCCGGTGTGTGTGTGTGTGTATATATATATATATATATATATATATAATATGTAAACTCAGCAAAAAAAAAGAAACGTCCTCTCACTGTCAACTGCGTTTATTTTCAAGTTCCACAGACATATGACTAACAGAAATTGAATAATGGGGGGGGTCAAAATCAAAAGTAACAGTCAGTATCTGGTGTGGCCACCAGCTGCATTAAATACTTCAATTCATCTCCTCCTCATGGACTGCACCAGATTTGCCAGTTCTTGCTGTGAGATGTTACCCCACTATTCCACCAAGGCACCTGCAAGCTCCTGGACATTTCTGGGGGGGAATGGCCCTAGCCCTCACCTTCCGATCCAACAGGTCCCAGACGTGCTCAATGGGATTGAGATCCGGGCTCTTTGCTGGCCATGGCAGAACACTGACATTCCTGTCTTGCAGGAAATCACGCACAGAACGAGCAGTATGGATGGTGGCATTGTCATGTTGGAGGGTCATGTCAGGATGAGCCTGCAGGAAGGGTACCACATGAGGGAGGAGGATGTCTTCCCTGTAACGCACAGCGTTGAGATTGCCTGCAATGACAACAAGCTCAGTCCGATGATGCTGTGACACACCGCCCCAGACCATGACGGACCCTCCACCTCCAAATCGATCCCGCTCCAGAGTACAGGCCTCGGTGTAACGCTCATTTCTTTGACGATAAACACGAATCCGACCATCACCCCTGGTGAGACAAAACCGCGACTCGTCAGTGAAGAGCACTTTTTGCCAGTCCTGTCTAGTCCAGCAACGGTGGGTTTGTGCCCACAGGCGACGTTGTTGCTGGTGATGTCTGGTGAGGACCTGCCTTACAACAGGCCTACAAGCCCTCAGTCCAGCCTCTCTCAGCCTACTGCGGACAGTCTGAGTACTGATGGAGGGATTGTGCGTTCCTGGTGTAACTCAGGCAGTTGTTGTTGCCATCCTGTACCTGTCCCGCAGGTGTGATGTTCGGATGTACCGATCCTGTGCAGGTGTACACGTGGTCTGCCACTGCGAGGACGATCAGCTGTCCGTCCTGTCTCCCTGTAGCGCTGTCTTAGGCGTCTCACAGTACGGACATTGCAATTTATTGCCCTGGCCACATCTGCAGTCCTCATGCCTCCTTGCAGCATGCCTAAGGCACGTTCATGCAGATGAGCAGGGACCCTGGGCATCTTTCTTTAGGTGTTTTTCAGAGTCAGTAGAAAGGCCTCTTTAGTGTCCTAAGTTTTCATAACTGTGACCTTTATTGCCTACCGTCTGTAAGCTGTTAGTGTCTTAACGACCGTTCCACAGGTGCATGTTCATTAATTGTTTATGGTTCATTGAACAAGCATGGGAAACCGTGTTTAAACCCTTTACAATGAAGATCTGTGAAGTTATTTGGAATTTTACGAATTATCTTTGAAAGACAGGGTCCTGAAAAAGGGATGTTTCTTTTTTTGCTGAGTTTATATATATATATATATATTTTGCGCCCATTTCAGTGAACTAATCCATTGCGGAGGCCTAGACTGAAAGCCAATTTATGCTTGATTCGAAAATGTGGTCGGAGTCTCCATATGGAGGGTGTGACTCAATGGCGGAGCCTCCAGAGGCATGCGGAGGCCAAATCGAGCTCTGCCACGCGCCTCCCAAATGTGGGAACAATGCAGAGGGCGTGTATAGCTCCGCATTGACGTGATTGGTTGACAGTAGGTGGGGGCGGTGCATCCAGTTTAAACACAAACTTACTTCCTTGACAACAGTTCTGCACTGCTCTGAGAAGCGCATGAATTATGAATGCCCTGACTTCTGCTGAGGCCATATCACCGCAATGCAGAAGTCGGATTGACCATGCGCCCAAATGCACAATGCACTTCTCTCTCCAGAATGCGCTCTCTCCCACCAATTTGTGCACATTCATTGTTTCATAACTTCCATTGTGTGAATTGTTTACGTTTGATTGTTAGTGTATATCAATTCCCAATTACATATAAATCACCAGTAGTACATTTATCGTTAATTTCAATCATTTCTAATCTACAATGTTTGTTACTTTGGTTACGGTCATTTATTTTAATGCACTCAATATTATTCCAGTCTTCCTGTTCTCATTGTCTGAGTGCACAACCTATGCTACACTTGTGAGAAACAAGTTTTGGTTTATTTAATTCCATTTACGAGTTCTGTCAATTTAGTCATTGTCTTTTGTTTGGAGCGCTCCTGTCAATGTTGAGTAAGGACGCGCACGCATAGAAGTAGGCCTAGAGGCTACCTGGCCTGAACGCAAATGTAGGCTTATAAATGTGCACATTTGGGGATCTGATAGTATTTCTGATTGGCTTAACGCACCACCACTAATGACCTGTGGAGTTTCTCAAAGTAATGTTGTTTTCTTCAGCTCAAACAGCAAGAAAACAAATTCTGTTTTTACATTTTAGTCATTTAGCAGAAGCTCTTATCCAGAGCGACTTACAGTTACTGAGTGCATACATTGTTATTTTTTTCATACTGGCCCCCCGTGGGAATCGAACCCACAACCCTGGCGTTGCAAACACCATGCTCTACCAACTGAGATACATCCCTGCCGGCCATTCCCTCCCCTACCCTAGACGACACTGGGCCAATTGTGCACCGCCCCATGGGTCGGCACACAATTACAATAGTTCCTCAATGTATTTGAAAAATCTTTCCAGCTCTCTCCCTTTTGATAATCACTCAGCGTGAAAGGGAAAATGTTACGCTCTGATCCAATGAAAAAGTCGTAAAATAGGCTTCTCATCAGTGCTTGACTTGGACTGAAATAGGTTCCGGTACTCATTTTAGGTGCTGGTACTGTTTATATTTAGGTGCAGGAGCTCCACAATACTTTTGAGCTCATATTCTATAAGAGGAACAGGAGCTCAAGCAGTAGAAAATTCGAGGTGCAGGTACTCAGCTCCGGTGAGCTCCTGCACAAGTACAGCTGTGTCTGTCCCGAGCTCACTGGCACTTTATACAATGTTGCAAGTTTGCTAGCACAAGTTTTGGGCTGGACCCAAGTTAATAGTTGATACAATGTTTCAAGTTCGTTGCAGACAGGCCATGTGTAGCCAATGGGATTTATAGGAGATTTATTATCATCATCAGGATATTTTCTACCTGCAGGCTGCAATGTTTTTATTTGTTGGCTTTATGGAGGCTATTTTTACATAGCTGGCAATGGCAATAGAAGTTACTTTTTTAGGCTTGGTTAGAATTTTGATTAACCACATGACAACGATTTTGACATATGAAGATGTTATTATAAATTAAATTGTTTCACGAAAGTTTGCATATGAAAACCATAACTGGCACGCAGATAGGTAGAAATGGTAAGATAAATTGGCATTCCAACTATTCTCCTCATGTAGCCTATTACCAGCAACTTCAGGAGAGTAATGGCAGAAATCTGCGAAAGCCAGCAGGAGCGGGAGGAGAATAGTTGGGTCAGGTTACATTTTTTTTCTTCTTCTGGTTCTCTAGATCTCTGGCGCCCTTTTGAGGCATCAAACCGTAAGCTTAAAGCATCAGACAAGCTCAATGCACATAGTTGATTTTATTAAACACATAGGGTGTGTCTATATATGGAAAAATACATGTTTGAAAAATGTTTTGCAATCGATTGGTCGAAAGAACAGACGACTTTCGGTCGACCAATATTTTTTTTTTTGTCGGGGACAGCCCTAAATGTAATGGAACTGAGAGTCACGATCAAGGGCTACGCCAAACAGAATCTGGCCTTACAGGAGACGTTGGTATGGCAAATCTCCTTTAAGCCCAGGAAGCAGCCATTCATAGAGTGGCGCAGTGGTCTAAGGCTGTGCCACTAGAGATCCTGGTTCGAATCCAGGCTCTGTCGTAGCCGGCCGCGACCGGGAGACCCATGGGGCGGCGCACAATTAGCCCAGCGTCGTCCAGGGTAGGGGAGGGAATGGCTGGCAGGGATGTAGCTCAGTTGGTAGACCATGGCGTTTGCAACGCCAGGGTTGTGGGTTCGATTCCCACGGTATGAAAAATTATGTATGCACTCACTTAACTGTATGTCGCTCTGGATAAGAGCGTCTGCTAAATGACTAAAATGTAAATGTAATTCAACTTGCCATTCACCAGCTTTTCAAGCTTAATAACGTCAAAATACATTTGCTACTCAAATATGGAGTTTCGATTAGCAACTATCGTCATTTCCTGCCGTCACGGCCGGTATGCATTTCCCGAAAAAGGTCTAAATAAACTAAACAAAAAAGCCTTTTCGGCACATCCAATGTATTGAACTGGTGTAGACTTCCGACCTGTGCATGGCAGTACGGTTAGTGCTATCCGGGATCCTTGGGACGTGAGTGATCGGAGGTGCTGAATAGGCATTTTTACAGTTGCCTTTAAATGATTATTTCGACGTTTTTTAGAAGTACATAGCGCCCGTGACTGCAGTAAATGACGATAGTTGCTAATGGAAACTCCATATTTGTTGCGTAATGAACTTATTTTGACTATTAAAGCTGCAATATGTAACTTTTTTGGCGACCTGACCAAATTCACATTGAAATTTGAGTTCTAGCTCGGTCATTATCATTGAAAGCAAGTCTAGGAAGCGGTAGATCTGTTCTATGTGCGCTATTTCTGTGCTTCCCTTTATTACATTTCGTTTTTGTAACTTTTACTATTTGGTGTACAATCTGTGTAGCTAGCAAATACAGTCCAGTGTGCGACAGGGAAATGAAATATACACAATATAGGAAGGTATATATATATGAAATTGTCACCTGAAAGCCTTGTGATGCGTCAATGTTGACAGTTGGGCGAGGAACCCACTGCATGATCTTGAAATAAGAGCCATGGTTGGACCCTTCTTATTATACCTGAGGTTGAACCTTGTGAGAAGAGAAGAGAGGTTAGCTAGCTATGCATGTATCGTTTTGCAAATGGTCAGCTAGCTAACATTGCTAGCTCGCTATCTAGCAACTGAACTGACGAGCATGGGTTAACTAAAGCAAGTTTGAAGTTAAATCTACTAATGTTGCTATGTCTAAGCTTTACCACATCGTATGTTTATGTATGTAGCTACGTGTTTCCGACTTTTGCTAGTTAAAATAGATTACAGCTACCTTACAAGCTAGCTAGTTAGCAACTTTTCAAGAATGCTCCGTGCCAATGTCAAATACGTCATCAAACAGCGACCCAACTGATTACCAAACGTTTAGGACCAAATGCGCACCAACACTTCTTTTGTACTTTGTATCTTCTGATAAGAGCTTTTTACATTCGTTCATAGTCGATACTTTATAGTTGATAGTCGATAACCCTTTTTAGTTGATTACTCAATTAAAAAGGGGGCCATGAGGAAAGATATTGTAATTTGTCATAAAAAACGCACTGGTTGAAGAATATGTTCTATTTATCCTATGTCTATGATTTTGGTACGCCCAGTTCATTTTTCAATGATCCACCTCTTCTGCCTTAGTTAGCTGCTGCTGTGCTTGTTACCGGCTAGCTACTAAGCTCCTGCTTATCGTGTTTTGACGAAGATCGAAAAGACTGCGTGTGATTTGGAGGGACTATATTTTTTTATTTTCTACCCGGGAATCATACAAGACCTGGATATAATACGAAAGGTTTTGGCTGTTCGGATCGTGGTGTGCTGTTCTCGACTGGTTTGGGAAAAATCCACTGCGTATCAAATAGCAGGTAAAACCATCGCTGAATCACAGCCATTCACAGCGTTAGCTACGTAAAAGTCGTTAGCTGGGTAGCTATCTAGCTAAATCGTAAACTGTCATAAAACGTTATTTTGATAGAAATCTAGCAAGCTACTGTCATTGTCACGCTACCTAGTTCAACTTAAATGGTTAGGTTAACAAGCGAGGTAGCTAGATAACGTTACCTAGTTAACATCTCCAGCCTTGCCATGCTAACTATCTACGATATCGCAAGGATCTGACAGACAAAATGGGTGAGACATGTTTTATGTTGACTAACGTTACTCAGTGAGAGAGTAAACAGAGAAAGACGCACGACAGCTCAGGATTATTGGAATGTGCAGTAAATCAGCGTGTCCTTAGTTGTAGTTACCAATGCCACCGATGCCGGCCCAGAAAGGTAGATACAGTACAACCAAAATCAAATAGGGCATCCACAGATTAGTGATGATAATAGCTGGCTAACACGGCCTAATCCTTATGATTTGACAATGTTCACACACTGGTTTCATCCTGGGCTGCTACCGTTATCATTACTCAGTGTGTATTTATTGTTACTTTTATTATTAACTACGCGATTTACTTCTCTATTATTTCTCTATTTTCTTTCTCTCTGCATTCTTGGGAAGGGCCGGTAAGTAAGCGTTTCACTGTCCGTCTACACCGGTTGTTTACGATGCATGTGACGAATAAAATGTTATTTGATAACAATGCGTTTTATTCGTCATTGCATAGTTTCTATGACAGTTTCGCCAGGGTCCCCCATTGTGACAGAAAGGAAATACATTTCCAGGCTGTCACTCACTCATGCTATGGGAATGCTCTCTCAGGCCAAGGAAGGCTTGCAGGAGTTTGAGAGAATAGCTGAATAGGCTACTATAATTGAGTACTATTTACTAGTGAAACCAATAATAACAGATGTAGCCTAGGAACTGTACCTCTGGTCCAGGGCATTAATGCGTCTTTTTAATGCTGAACCTTCCTTCACTAATACCCAGGACCAGAGCTACTGAAGCCAATGCTCCTTTGAACGTCCAGTGACAACGACAATGACCCTATACAGAGGCTGAATATTAGACGGCCTGGGGTTTGGTTTGCTGGCTACCCAAACTCCTTGCTCCGGCCAAACGCTACACCACGGACGTTAGTTTCTTCTCTGCAATTGAGTCTTTATCTGAGTACCTCCCTGATGATTTGTAGAGTGAAAATCCGTCTGATTGGTCCCAGAAACCGGTGGGCCAGAGCCAGAACACGCGAGGGTAAAGAGGCGTTTTGAAAATGTATCATTGCCTTTGATACTCTGCATGGTTAGAGAGAGTCCAATCGCTGATGACTTTGTTTTGTACAACACCCATCATTTTGAAGTCACCGCAAACGACTTCAATGATGACAGTCTCAGACTGAAGTATGTCGTGAATAGAGCGCACTGCTCCGGTGCTCCAGGTCCTTTCCAACCGCTCCACTAAAAACCACTCCTTGCTCAAATAAAAAAACTGCTGCTCCAAATTCGCTCCATTCATTTAAAATCACAATTTAACCAACACCAATCTATCTTGTGACTACCTGGACCTTCCATTTGGTTTTGAAGTATTGAAACCAAACCATATGATTTGAATGAAAAGTATTTTAATAAACAACAGGAAAAAGTGACTGTAAGAAGCGCTCATCATTTCAAACAGTCTACATGTCATATTAAACAGCATATAAACACCCTAAATAGGTCAGGAGCTAGACAGAGAGTCTTAGAAGGAATGAAAATGAATTATTTAAGATATATTATTTCAAGGCTATAGTCTACAAATAAATATATTATGAAGCATTTCCTTGTGCGACACACTAGGCTGGCAGGGACATTAAGCGCTCAGCATTTACATTTACGTCATTTAGCAGACGCTCTTATCCAGAGCGACTTACAAATTGGTGCATTCACCTTATAGCCAGTGGGACAACCACTTTACAATTATTATTTTTTGGGTTGGGGTAAGGGGACACTAGCCAGCCACCACTACATCACCTCACTCCCTCTCTTGCTCTTGGTCCTCCTCATCTTTGTAAGTATATTTTTCACCTGAGTGTTTTATCAGTTTCTTTATGACAATATTTAGTGAACTCCATGACAGTAGCTAAAGCAAGGGGCTATAGCAGCGCACAAGTAGACTACCAATGCATGCTGGGCTGGGCCGGGCCGGGCCGGGCCGGGCGCGCCCTGAGCTGGTGAAGTGAGCGCTACTGAAGCGAAATTGGAGCGGGCGAGAAGGCCGACGCTCCAGCCTTTGGGGAACTCGCTCCATGCTCCAGTGAAATTGGGCACGCCCGGGTCCTGCTCCGCTCCTTCTCCGCTCCAGCTCCGCTCACATACTCTGCTACCATCTAGCAGACGGAGGCAGTACAGGTGCTGGGACCAAGAGACTGATAAACAGCTTCTAACTCCAGCCCATAAGACTGTTGAACAGCCATCACTAGCTGGCCACCGGGCCCGGTCCTCGCACCCTTCAGACGGCTGACACTAGCCGGGGCCACCGTTAGACACTGTTCACTAGCACACAGCCACCGCCTGGTACTCTACCCTGCACCTTAGACACTGAACAGTGGCCAGCCACACCGCCTGGTAACTCTACCCTGCAACCTGAGACACTGTCCACTAGCCGCCACCGCCTGGTACTCCGGCTTGCTGCCCTGCACCTTAGAACACGGTTCACTAGCCAGCCACCCGCCTGGTACTCTACCCACACCGTAGACACTGTCATTGGCCAGCCACCGGACTGGTACTGCCTGCCCCTGCAACCTTAGACACCTGTCATCTAGCCAGCCAAACCGGCTGGTACTCTGGCCCGGCACCTTAGACACTGTCACTAGCCAGCCAACCGCCTTGGTACTCTGCCCTGGCACCTTAGACACTTCATCATTGGCCAGCCACCCGCCTGGTACTCTAACCCCAGCACATTAGACACTGTCCACTAGCCAGCCCACCGCCTGGTACTACTTCCTGCCCTGTGCAACCTTAGACACTGTCATTGGCCAGCCACCGCCTGGTACTCTGCCCTGCACCTTAGACACTGTCACTAGCCAGCCACCGCCTGGTACTCTGCCCAGCACCTTAGACACTGTCATGTACATAGTCATTGATCACTGGTCACTTGAATAATGTTAACATACTGTTTTACCCACTGCATATGTATATACTGTATTCTAGTCATGGTTCATCCTATATAACTACTGCTGTACACATCTTTTTATATTCACATACTGTCTATACACACCATTTTATTTATATATTCTGCACCCTGACATTGCTCGTTCTGATAGTTTTTCAACTTTCCTCCATAGAGTCGATCCTACTGGGTCGTAGTTATTCGGCACTCAATAGATGAAAACGGACTGAAACAGGGAAGGACCGGGGGCCTATATGAACGCTCCAATAAGAAGCTGTGCCATAATGCCATCATGAATATTAAAAACTGGCAAAACAAAAGTTTTCAATTGCAAGTATTCTACTAGCCGGGCAGGCAACTGAGGAAAGTAGACGGTCAATTGATGAGTACTTGGCCTATCAGAAATGGCAGCGGCTATTGACAATGTTAATCTATTGACAGTCTTGACTGTCTGACTGTCTCTATGAACACAAGGAAAGAGTCAAATCTACCGCTCTCCAAACTGGAAAATCAAAGTTGTCCAAATGCAAGTACTAGTAGCCAATAGGTAGGTTTCCATTGACCCAGGTTTATTCGACAAAAAGCAATGTTGCAAAAAAAAAATTGCGACGTGTGTAATGGAAATTGCAGATATAGAATTACTTTTTTCTAAAGATCAACAAATGTTGGAGAGGGGTGGATTTTTATTTTGTTTAACTTTCTTTATTTGAGACAAATTATGATGGAAACTTTTTTTGGGAATAAACTATCATTGCCAATAATTGTTAAGGTACGTGGGGCACGTGACATCATCACATAGTTTAACTATAAAGCTCCACTCCACATTTAATTCTAAGTGTCTACTGCTTGCAAAAAAAAATACAACTATAAAAATTATGTTTCTTTGCAGGAAAAGGATTGTCCTGACTTTCAAGATTGCCTGAATTGCGCTTCGCCTTGCTTTTCTGGTTGGCTGGCAAGTTTTACAATCCAATTATTTCAGATCTACACGAGTGCAAGTTTCACCGTGGCGATACGTTGGCACTGGAGAATTATTAGAATATGGCAAATATTTGTTTTTGTTAGTTGTTCCATTCTATCCATGCTAGCTTCCCCGGGCTACCTGAGACATGAAACAGATAGGTGGGAGGGCATACAGGCTTGCGCCAACTTATGAATGCGCAATTTGCCTAAATGGGTAATGGAAAACCTTCAACCACTTTATTTATATTCGACACTGTCATTTATTAGTATTTTTTTTGGTGTGACGTCATTACACCCCGGCTGTTTTTATAGACTCATGGTAGTTAATGGAAACGCACTGTAGCAGGCGATTGT